TGTGCCATATCTTTTCAGATTGCAGTCCTGGTGCTGGGGGTCTGCTTCATTCGTCTGTAGTGATTTGTAAGCCACTTTTTAATTTTTAAATTTTTTTTGGCTAAAGAGTGTTACGGATTTTTTTTAAAAATTATGAACAAGTAAATAACCCTTGACTTGCCGATCAGAAGGTCGGCGGTTCAAATCCCTGTGACGGGGTGAGCTCCTATTGCTCGGTCCCTGCTCCTGCCAACCTAGCAGTTTGAAAGCACGTCAAAGTGCAAATAGATAAATAGGTACTGCTCTGGCGGGAAGGTAAACGGCAATTCCGTATGCTGCTCTGGTTCGTCAGAAGCGGCTTAGTCATGCTGGCCACATGACCCGGAAGCTGTACGCCGGCTCCCTCGGCCAATAAAGCGAGATGAGCGCCGCAACCCCAGTGTCGGCCACGACTGGACCTAATGGTCAGGCGTCCCTTTACCTTTTTAAATAACCCTTCCTCCAAAATCAGAGGGGACACCTCCTCTTTGAAGGGATTCCCATGTACCCTGCCTCTCACCCTAATACTCTGTACTTATCAGTTAAACCCTACAATTCCAGATTCCCTCTGGGCCACCTCTGGTAGGTCAGGATTCCTTGGTCCAATTGGGAGGCATTTAATCTGAATTCATTTACTTTAAACAAACGAAACAAAACAAAAATTGTATCCGAGAGGTAATACAATAGCCATCTTCAAATATCTAAAAGGGCTGTCACATGGAGGATGGAGATTGTTTTCTAATGCTCCAGAAGGGAGAACCCAACCAATGGATTCAAGTTGCAAGAAAGAAGATTCTGACTAAGCAGTAAGAGCTGTTTGACAGTGGAACGGTCTCCTGCAGGAGGTGGTAGCAGTTTTTAAGCAGAGGCTGGGTGGCCAACTGTTGTGTATGCTTTAGTTGAGATTCCTGCATTGCAGGGGGTTGGACTAGATGACCCTGGAGGTCCCTTCCAACAATACAATTCTATGATTCTATGCATCTGAAGCTAATCAGGCTTCCAAAACTGGAAAGGGGAAAAGTTCCATGGGGGGGGGGGGAGAATCTGGCCTGGCGGAACTAGGAAGAAAGAACTGGTTTAGCTCTGGGCTTGTTTCATTTTTACACCTCCAGATATATAAACATTCTCTTTTGCTGCTTAACAGCTGGTCTAGAAATATTGAAATGGGAATAATACCTTGTTCTTCCTGCCTTCCAGGGAGTCTTGTGGGCCGGGATGGATGGTGCTCCATCCCTGTAATAGAGTAAAAATTTTGAAATGAAACATCGCGGTAGTAAATGATCCTGCTCTTGCTGCTGCTGTTTGACATTATAACTATCCAAAGTATTATTCTGGATTATTATTATTTTCCGAAAGCGCCATCCACAAAGCATGGCACTTCACCTGTCAAAAATGATCCATTAAAAACAGAAAAGAAAAGAAAAACAGGGGTCAGGGTCTGACAATGTTTATCCGGCTTGCAAAGGGTTTATTTTATTTGTTTGTTTAATTTGTGTGCCGCCCGTCATTCAAAATTCACAGGGCGGTTCACAACATAAAAATACAACGCCTAGAATGAGTTTTTACTCACCACAGGAGTGTGGCTGTTTAGAAGCCTCTGTTATTTTCCCTCTGAATTCTCTGTCCCTATGGACAGCTTTCTAGAACAGACAAGCCATTTTCCAACGGTGTCAAAGAGAAGACTGCTATGTACCGCGGATAATCTTACTGAGCTCAGAGAAGGTAGGTAGACACTGCCTGGTCATGGTGCTTGAGGTCCAGAGGCCTCTTTGCTATGGCATCATTCCCTCTCCCCCTCTTCCAGAATCTTTGCTGGGCAGAATCAGGACACACACTGTTTCTACAAAAGCTCAAGGAGTTGACAGGACCTCCTGCAATGAAGTGGACATCACCTCCGTGGGGTTTGGGGGATCCTGAGATCAACCAGTTGCAAAAGATCAACCATATGCACTAATGAAAATCTTTGCCTCAGTATGTTTTACCAACAGAAATGCTTAAAAACTGAGTGGTAGTCGTCATTATTAAAGGTATAAGTGTGGTGTACTGGTTAGAGCATCTGACTGGGGCCTGGGAGACCCCACTGCTAATCTCATCAGCTCATTGAGTGGTCTTGGTCTACTCCCTGTCTCTCAGCCTGACCTACTTCGCAGGGCTGTTGTGGGGATTATATGAGGAAGAGCAGAACCATGTAGGTCACCTTAAGCTCACTAGAGGAAAAACTGGGATGTAGGTGCAATAAATAAACAAAATGTGTGGCAAGTTGTCCTCCTAGCCTACAGGTTGTCACCTGCTTTGCTTCTAGGGATCTGGTGTGTGTGTGAGCATGCATGAAAAGACAGCCAGAACCACCATAGACTTCAGATGTGACTTTAAAGAACTGCAAACTTTAAGAGTTTGCACTTCAACTTGCTTTTTCCTCTTCCCTCCCATTCCATTTTTCTTTGCATGCTGTGTCTTTTTAAACTGGATGCTTAAAACTGAGCTTGGCAAGTCACCTTGGGAGCCTTTTTTGGTTAAACAGTGGGGGTTGCACGTTCTAAATAAATAAAATAAATACAATCATTAAAAAATTGTATTATCCCCATCCCCCACCACATGAGGAATCTCAGGCAGACCCTGCAAAAAATCTATATTGAACTATCTCCCTATATACATAAAAATGGAAGGATGTTGTCATGCTCTGCAGTTCACATTGTCATCACCAAAAGGTAGCAGCATGATAAGCAGTGGGCAGGCAGGCGAGCAAGGAAGCACCTAGATTGAACAGAGGAGGGAAAGCACTTCACACAGCAGTGCCCCATATACGTGTGTGTGTGTGTGTGTGTGTGTGTGTGTAACAGAAAACCGTATTTTTCTGGCCAGCAATGGGTCTCTCCCCAACACAACACCCTACTGGATATTATGGACCACACAACCCACTAGCCAGAGCGAGCGGCGTCATATAATGCTGTAGACAATGGACGCACAATTGTTCACATGGCCCTCATGTTGTACAGTTGAGATGGCTGAAGCTGATGGGAGTTACAGTCCAGAATGCCTGGAAGGCACCAGATTGGCAAGGGTTGCTGTCAGTTCACTTAGCCCCCTTCTCTTCTCTTCCCTCCCTCTCTCCACCCAAGATGCCAGACCAGCTGCCTCTGAGACCTGCCTGCCTGCCATGGGCAGCCCTGTGCCTGCATCCAACTCATTTGCTAAAGGCCAGCGAGCAACAATGGCAAGAAGACTCAGGGATGGGTCACTGTGCAACCGCCTCCTTCCAAGAGCACAAATCCAAGAGAGAGTCATTCCAGGATAAACAGGGGAAAGAGGCTAATTCTAGTTCTGTGCAACCAATCTGTAAAAAAAACCCCAGGGAAACGGGAAGATTTCAGGACTGTGGGGCAAAGCCATCCAGGTTTCTCACATCAGGATGAATCTGCCCACCAGCTCACTCTGCTACTTTTGCTCCAGACTGCATGCATTTCTCTGTGAAATGTTCATGCCATAACCCTGTGTGTGCTTCCTGCAAAGTAAGCATTTGCTCTTAAGTAAATACATGACTGCAGCATTAAGAATATCAGAAGTGTACATGCCGTTTGCAATTGCAGGTATACAATTTTCAGGATGCGGTGGCATTTTCATTTACTTGTTTATTTAAGAAATCCACATACAGTACTGCCCTTCATCAAATGATCCTAGGCTTGTTTACCAACATCTTTGAAGCTTGAATGCCTGTACTCATTTATCTGTCAGCGAATTCCAGAACACAACTTCCTTAGACAAAAACAACAGCAACAGCTGAATAAAGACAGTGCTTCTGAGCATAAGCAGACTGCACTTCACTCACAAACACCCGCTTCCCCACTCTGAACATACTTACTGAGCAACAGCATGTCTCCCACACAGATTGAAGCATCACTATTGGGGTGGGGGATGGGAGGAATTAAGCATTTACCCCACAAGCTTAAGAACAAGCCAAAACATAAATCCTGTTTTTGCTCCACATGACAACCCCTCCTAGCAGTGGCACATGGAAACACAAGAAGGGCCTACTGGATCAGGCCAATGCCCCATCTAATCTAAGCCTCTTTTAAAGCCATCCAAGTTGGTAGCCATCAATGCCTCCTGTGGCAGTTCCGGAGTTTAACCAAGTACGTTCATTTATTTGCCTGGAATCTTCAAACATTCACTTTCTTTGGACACCCACAAATTCCAATGTTACAAGAGAGGGAGGGATAAAAGCTTGCTCCATGCCATGCATAATTTTATAAACATCAAGCATCTTTTCCTCACTTTTTCACCTGCAACTCTGACGTTAACTCTACATTATGGCAATGCAAAAGCCAAAAGTTTCTATCCCTCGCCACCCCAACACTTTACGTACCGTATTTTTCGCTCTAGAAGATGCACTTTTTCCCTCCTAAAAAGTAAGGGGAAATGTGTGTGCATCTTATGGAGCGAATGCAGGCTGTGCAGCTATTGCTGAAGCCAGAAGAGCAAGAGGGATCGCTGCTTTCGCTGCGCAGTGATCCCTCTTGCTGCTCCGACTTCGCTTCGCTGGAAAAGCGCTGCGCAGAGAGGGAAAGCTGTGCAGCGCCTCTTCAGCAAAGCAGGAGGAGAAACAGAGCCCCTTCTGTTTCTCCTCCCGCTTTGCTGGAGAGGCGCCGCACAGATTGAGAATATTTTTTTCTTGTTTTCCTCCTCTAAAAACTAGGCGCGTCTTATGGTCGGGTGCGTCTTATAGAGCAAAAAATACAGTACATCTTTCTCCTTCCAGGCAAACAATGGGCATACTCCTGGCACAAGGACACATTTCAGCCATCAAAGGCACCCCAGAAGGGGGCAGCAGAAGGCCAGTGAGGGTGTGTGGCTTGGAGAGAGTCCCAAGGGCCAGAAAAGAGAGGGCCACAAGGCCACGTCTGGTACTCAGGCCTGATGTTCTCCACCCGATCTAAATAGAACCTCTGAAAACCAGATCATAAAGCCTTTGCAGACATAGAATGGAAGCATCATGGCTCAGTGGTTAAGAACATCTGCTTTGCATGCAGATGGTCCCAGAATCAATTCCCAGCAGCATCTCCAGGTAGGGATGGGAAAGAGACTCCCTGCCTGAAATCCAGGAGAGCCACTGCCAGTCAGTGTAGGCAGCACTGTTCTACATGAACCAATGATCGGGTTCGATACAAAGCAGCTTCTTGCATTCTGATTGGCAATTGAAGGGAAAAGGATGCTGTGTTAGGCAGGCTCTTAAGTCTGGCCCAGGCAAGGCTCTGCTTACAGCCAACCTTGTTCCACATTTGACTTGCCACCTAAGACCTGACATCACCCTCCCATCATATATATTCTTGTTTTGTTTTCTGGGGCCCTCCACACTTCCTTCCAAACACCCTTCTGTCCATCACCTTCCTGAGAGAAGAGTTTGACAGTTCGAGCAGCTGCACGTGCAAGTCCTTGAATAACTCCACAGATCAAGCACGACAGCTTCGCTTGGTGCTTAGGGCAATGCAGAGAAGGATGCTCGGGAGAGCTTGCCTCTTGCAGGCAGGGCAGAAACACAGGATGTGCAGGAAGGTGGGGAAACAGTTCTTTGAGTGCCTGTATTTAGCTAAGGCCGGGGGACGGAGGAATGAAGCGAAGCTGAGAGCATCACCGCCCCCCCAAAGCTTTGCACTGGTACCCCAACCTGCTCTGTCCTTCACATCCCAAGCCTAAGATGGACATGGTCCTGGCCAGTGTTAGAAACTCCCCAGGTGCCAGGCACATTTTGCAACTGGCGCGGATCCAATCATGGCCATGGGCAGATCTCTGGGTGCCGGGTTGGTGACTGATGTCTCCATCTGGCTGACCCCTCCAGCTTTCTTAAGTGGGTAAGCGCAAGAGCTTATTTATTGCATTTACATCTCACTTTTTTCTCTAAAAAGTACAAGGCTCACTCCCTCCTCAGTTAATCCCTACAACAACCATGTTAGGTAGGTTAAGAGGCTGTAATTGGCCCCAGGTCACCCAGTGAGTTTCATAACCGTGTGGGGATTTGAACCCTGATCTGCCAGGTCTTGGTCCAACACTCTAACCAATACACCACACAGGCTTCCTAGAGTACGTCTGCTATGGGGCAGCTATATAAATTAAGCAGACATAAATACGGGGAAAGCAAAAATGTCACTTAGAGAAGGATCTGAAATATTTTCATTGAAGCTTGGGTTAGTTTTATTCTGGATTGTTTTATCCGTGTTGCAAATGTGTTGCAAACCGCTTTGAGATTTTTTTTCTTTAAAATATAAAGCAGTATAGAAATAGAAATAATAATAGAAATGAAAGTAGTAGTAATATTAGTAATGGTAGTAGTAGTGGTGGTGGTGGTGGTAGGAGTAGGAAGAAAAAGAAGAGAAGCCCTATTCAAGAAAAATGGCGTCTAGACATTCCATTATGGCGACCATATCCTAGGTTTAAGATTCCATGTGGTGATTAGCTTATATATCCGAGTTTCTCCTAACACTGGTCCTGGCTCACTTGACCGCTGAAACGACCTTGTAGGGTAGCTTAGGCCAACGGAAAATGAAACACTGGTAAGTTACAGAAAAACTCCCATGTTGCAACCCCATTCTGCCGCGGAGTTTTTTCTAACCTTTCTCCCTAATATTGTATTTCATAGCAGGGGGATTAAGAACATAAGACCTCACAGTCACCAACCAGATGCCCTGATGGGCAACCCACCTGCAAGCAGGACGCAAATACAAGAGCTTTCTGCCACCCTGTGGCTTCCAGCAACTGGGATTCAGAAGTATTGCTGCCTCAAACCATGGACAATCACGGCTAGTAGCCTGCTATAGTATTCCCCTCCATGAATTTGTCCAATCCTCTTTTAAAGCCCTCCAGGATAATTAGATCCACATTTAAAGCCATCCAAGATTAATATATGGGATACCATTTTTTTTTAAATGACAACCACACTCCAACTTACAAACATATGAGAACCTAAGACCCCTTCCATATCAAATGCCCACGAAGCCAAGTGTCCTGTATTACAACAACCCTCTCCCCGCAGTGTGTTTTCCAGCCATTGGCATTCAGAAGTATTAGTGCTTTCAACTGTGGAGGTAAAGCATTGCCACCTAGGCTAGTGGCCACTGGTCACCTTATCCAACATGAATTCATCGAATCCTCTTTTAAAGCCATCCAAATGTTGCTAGTTCTCACTGCGTATTGTAGGAGCAAACACCATAGTTTTAACTACACACTGCATGAAGAAGTGATTCCTTTCGCATGTCACGCATCTCTGGATATTTGGCTTCCTCTGTGTTCTAGCATTGCCGTAAACGGTTCAGCCCAGAACCCTGCCACCTAATTTTGGATCTCACAAAGTCCTGAGCCGCCTTCTCGCCTTACCTTCCCTCTTCATGCCCATTGCAAGACACTTTTGGTACCGGCAGTACTGACACCGGTTCCGCTGCCGCTTGTCGATTAAGCAGTCCTTATTGTCCCGGCAGGTGTACGTCAGGTCCTTCCTCACTGTCCTCTTGAAGAAGCCTTTGCAGCCCTCACAACTGTACACCCCATAATGTTTACCTGGGTGCGGGGACAGAGAAAGAGCAACAATACGGTGATAATGAGGCTAACTTGGTCATGAGGTCATGCACATAGTTTAAAAACCCATAGAGCTGAAACAGGAAGTTGGAAGAGTGCCGCTCTATCCCATTTTCTCTTTTAGCTCTATGGGCTCCAGGCTCAGGAGGGGTATAGGATTCAGGTATGTCATTGATTGCAGGAAGGTTAGAGAATATTTTTATCTATTAAATTTACCACCCTTCAACCGAGGATCACAGGATGCTTTACAGTATAAAAACACAGAAATACGTAACATAGCAACAAGCAAAAACAATAGCCCCCCACAGGTTAAAAGGCCATAGATTGTTTAATTATCCAAAGGCCTGGGAGAAGAGGAATGTTTTTGCCTGGCACCTAAATATAGGCAACGAAGGCGAGCCTCCCTGGGGGAGCATCCCACAAATGGGGAGACACCACAGAAAAGGCCGGTTCTCAGGCGGCCACCCCCCAGACCTCTCATGGAGGAGACACACAAAGTAGTATTGATTACAGAGTCTGGGTTGGTTCATATGGGGAGAGGCAGTCCTTGAAGTATTGAGTCATTTAAGGATTTATAAGTCAAACCCAGTACTTTGAATTGGGCCCAGAAACTAATTGGCAACCATTGCAGTCAGCCAGGATTGGCATAATACGTTCAAGCCATCTTGCCCCGGTGAGCAACCTGGCTACTGAAGTCTGCACTAGCTGAAGTTTCCAAACCATTTTCAGAGGCAGCCCCATGTATAACACATTGCATTAGTCTAACCTGGAGGTTAACATAGCATATGGCCACAGCTGGGCCACCAGCTGAAGCTGATGGAAGGCATTCTGTACCACTTAGGCTACTTGAGCCTCAAGCGACAGCAAAAGATCCAGCAGTACCCACAAGCTACATGCCCGCTCCTTCAAAGGGAGTAACCCCATTAAAAGCAGGCATCCTCCCAGCCATCCGGTCCAGGAAACCGCCCCCTAACAGTGCCTCTGTCTTATCAGGATTGAGCTTCCGTTTGTTGGCTCTCACCCAGTCCATTACCAAGGCAAGACTAGAAGCTTGGCTTGTTTCAAATTTATCCAGAGGCGGGGAAGAAAGATAAGCTAAGGTGATACAATTAGTGTTTAAAAAGCCCTTAAGAATTTTGGGCCAGTTTACCTACAAGATCACCTATTCCACGTTGTAAGAAATGGATTTTTGTGTGTGTGACAGCACCTAAACTTTTAACCCTTTGCCTCTTAAGTGAAGGCAGGGGCCTTCACAGTACTCTTTTCGGGGCTTGCTAAAATCCCATTTGAGTTTGTTATTTATAATTTATATATTATATATTTATAATTATTTATTTATAATTGTTATTTCAACCTTTCAAATTTCTTAAATGATTATCAATTCCACTTAGGGACAATTTTATTGTTTCATCTTTTTGCATACTGCAATCAAGCAGTGTATAAATTTTGTGAAACAAATAAGTACAAATTAATCCCTAATTTGGTGTAAATTAGTTCTGATCTTTCTTAGCATAGAGCAACTCCCAAGCTAACACTCATTGCTGCCCCACATATCCTGCCTCCCCCTGGAGGGTGTTTGAAAACATTGGCGCTACCTGAAGATCTGTCTCCACAAATGGCACATATGTGCTTAGTGAAGGAGGCCATGGCAGATGATGGGTGCACTGGAACTTTGAGGACCCCGTTGATTCCCAACGGAGGCTTGATATCTTCTGTGCTGCTGACAGGGTTCATTGGAGAATTGAGCTGAAATAGAAAAAAAAGGAAACAGGAGGCATCAAGCGAGAGAACTATGCATAGGGACATGTAGGCAATGCACTTCAAAACAGCGGACTGCTCTTCAACTAACTGTGTAGCACAAAGGCATACCATATGTGTAAGGTAAAGGTAAAGGGACCCCTGACCATTAGGTCCAGTCATGGCCGACTCTGGGGTTGCAGTGCTCATCTCACTTTATTGGCCGAGGGAGCCAGCATACAGCTTCCGGGTCATGTGGCCAGCATGACTAAGCTGCTTCTGGCAAACCAGAGCAGCGCACGGAAACGCCGTTTACCGTCCCGCTGGAGCGGTACCTATTTATCTCCTTGCACTTTGACGTGCTTTCGAACTGCAATCCCAGGATAACAGCTGTGAGAGCACAACCTTGACATTTAAAAAGACTAAGAAACCTGGAGCCCCTAGGTCACTCTCAGAATGTACTCTATGCTGAAGACGGATCTGAAACCACATCTATCCAAATGTTCCAATACGTACAATACTCCAAACTAGTTCTGAATAAAGGGCTGATTCAAACAGGAATGCAAGAAGCTGCATTATCCTGAGTCAAACTGAGAGTTGATCTAGCTCACTGCAGCTTACACTGACTGCTAATTCTCGACCTCTGGGGATAGCTCAGTTGGTAGAGCATCTGAATCGGTCCCACCTCCCTGCAGAGGGGAAGGGTTGTGGAGAAGTCCAGTTGCACCAGGAAGTGATCGGACCATGGGACTTCTTTT